TGTGTTCTGATTGCTGATGACTATCGCAGGAGGACCTTGAGAGCGGGTCCTAGAACAACTGACGATTGGTCTTTCTGGGGCAGGATGTGCTCGGACAGGCGTGTGATGGATGCTGCAATATAAATAGATGCTCACAGTTCAAATGTTTTTCCCCCTACACCCGTCCTCAGATAAAACATAAAATGTAAATTAAACAGGATAAAAATATGCATAATCAATCAGCCAGTCTTTTAAAGAACGTCGCTTTAGTCACGGCGCTCCTGAAAATCTCTCATCAGCCAATTCTGCAGCCCTATGTGCTTTTATAGCCAGTGTGTCTTCAGTGTCTTGTATCTACATTCGTGGAGGTCTGCCTCTGACTGGTTTTCCGGAAACTCTACCCTCCATCACCGTTATCCTTAGGCCGCCATAACGTTTAACATGATGTAGCACAGCTCTCTACTTTGTTGCGTATGTTGATGTCACACCCAGGTTCGTCTTTAGGTTTGCTACAGGAGGAGTCAATTGGAAGATTGTAGACGAGGAGAAGGATGTCTTGAGAGTCCATGTGACTGGCTTCTCCTCTCTTGAGTCTTGTGGACTGAAGAATTGCTAAAGTGCTTTGTTACTCGTTATTTATACTTGGATGTTGGAATGCTAGATATTTGTTTTCTTCTCGCTTTGTCTGCTTCTAGAAAATTCTAGTACGCCTCAACTTGTTTACTAGGTAGGTTCTCACGTGGGATTTGCTAATTATATCTCGATTGCATCAGATTTCATCATCCTATTCTACGCAGATATAATAGTTAAACTGACAGTTGAGGTCATAGAAGCTTCTTAAAAAAAAAAAAAAAACAAGGACAATTTTATTTGCTTTGATAGGGCATGACAACAAGGTATTTACTAGGAAGACAAGGTTGGGTCACATGATGAAAAACGCATTTCAAAACTTCTAGAAAGAAGGCCAAGGCCAGACAACCTCAGTTTGATGTCAATAGCTTGTTTTGCCGGGAAAAGAAGATTCTGGAAAAGGGAATGTCAAGGCTGCCAAAACTTGTTGATTTTCAGTACATCATAACTTTGTGCCTTCTAACAAATAAGCTATGACTTAATAACTCTGTTACAATACCCAAAATACCTCAACTTCTGTGACAGGATGCTGTTTATGAGCCAGTTTTCCTCGATGCTCAGATCATATGGCGGGATATCCATACTAATGCAGTTAAATATGCGAAAACTTATTGTATAAATAGTAATATATTACGTATAAAAAGTGAGCAATAAAAGGGAAGGACAAAACATTTTGTGTGCGCGCGCATGCTTGTCTGTGTACTCACCGTTTGCGCGTGTGTGTGTTTACTTACGTGTCTGTGCGAATGTGTCATATATGCATGCGGTGGATAGGATACACTTTGAGGAAACATAAAAACGATATAGTGTCCTAACAATGGAGCCCACGGGGGCATAGAAATACAGGCAGACCGAAAAACTCACGGAGACAGGAGCTAGAGAGCGGAGTTAAAAAGATGGTGAGGACATGGGGAGAGCTGCATGTAATATCAGAGAATATGACGACTTGTCCTGAGTTGGTTGGGGGGGGGGGGGGGGTTGGGCATGCTCCATTGGGGGATAAAGGGCAGAAGAAGACGAAGAAGAAGAAAAGAAGGAAAGAACCAAGTAAGGAATGAATGGACCAAGAAAAGAACCATTGGAGGAAGGATGGACGGGAGGAACCAAGAAAGGATGGAGAAGATGAAGGAAGGAACCAAGAAAGGAAGGAAGGAAGTATTGAAGCAACTAAGGAAGGAATGGAGTATCTAAGGGAGGAAGGAAGGTACCAAGGAAGAAAGGGAGGAAAAAAAACAGGTAGGAATGGAGGAAGGGATCAAGGCAATAAAGAAGGGAAGAACCAAGGAAAGAACCAATAGGGGGGGGGGGGGGTGTGACGGAAATAAATAAATAATCAAGGAAAGAAGGGGGAAGAAACTAAGGAATAAAGGAACCAAGAAAGTAAGGGAGAAAAGAAGGAAGATTTTTTTCCATAACTTACCGATTTCTTGTTAGGTTTTCTAAAGAACGCCAATTTGACACAATTATACATTGTTGGAAGTTTGACGGGATTCCACACAGCGTGATGTTTTCTCTAGCATCGCCACAGATTTCTCGTGTCTTATCTTTTAGAGATTTGTGTTTTATAAGAACATCTGTGAATCCATTGTTGAGACAGCAGGGACTGCCGTGATTGTTTGTCCTTTGTTCTTCCAACACACCATAACAACACTCGTCTTGAATTATTGTATGAATGCAAGCGTTACCCAAATTGACACACATTTCTGAGAGGTCAGTTCTAGAATATTCAGCATTTTCCTGAGATAATGTGTCTTTTCCGGTGTCAGTGGTTTTGGATGTGCTGTCTTGATTTGATTTCACCAGGTTTCCAAACGTTGACATTTGAACCGGTCGACCTGATTTATACGTAAAGGTCGTTACAGTTTTATACGGACTTGCGTAAGTGAACGTATGTCTGGGTTGTGTGTCCGAAATAGCAAACACGGATGAATGACCAGGGATAAATCCTTCAGTTGTTTGCTGTGGTATAGGTAAGAAAAACGTGCTCTGTCCTTGTCTGTCGATGTTTGTAAAATCGTGTCTACAGTTGTCATGTACGACGATGTCGGGTGAGGTAATCTGTGTTGACAATGTCAGTCCAGTATCAGTTGCAGCCATGTTGATTCTGTCTTCCACGTTCTCTTGTTTGCTGTCGTTTGTGGTCGATGTCGCGTGGTATTCTCGTTCTGCGATGTAACTGTTTAGTTCTGGTATACCTGGTCTTGGAGGAGTTTCATTTGTCTGAAATATGGGAAAGTTTACACATGTGTACCTAGATACATCAAATAATCTGATGTGTGTGTGATGCTGGTGTTCGTACAGTTAGTTGGTTACATATCAGAGTCATAACCATACAGGACAGCGGGACAACGAGATAAAAGTAGGATATCATATAGGACATCGGGACAACCTATAACAAGTAGGATACTATACAAGTTAGCGAGGCAACAAGATGCTGAAACGATAACATACAAGACAGCGGGACAACAAGATGAGGGAAAGATACATACAAGACAGCAGCCAACCGTATAACAGAAGGATAACATACGGGACAACCGTAAAACAGTAGGATAATACATAAGACAGCGGGACAACAAGAGAACAGTACGGTAACATACAAGACAGCGGGACAACGAGATAAAAGTAGGATATCATATAGGACATCGGGACAACCTATAACAAGTAGGATACTATACAAGTTAGCGAGGCAACAAGATGCTGAAACGATAACATACAAGACAGCGGGACAACAAGATGAGGGAAAGATACATACAAGACAGCAGCCAACCGTATAACAGAAGGATAACATACGGGACAACCGTAAAACAGTAGGATAATACATAAGACAGCGGGACAACAAGAGAACAGTACGGTAACATACAAGACAGCGGGACAAGATAACAATAGGATAACATACAAGACAGTGGGACAACAAGGTAACATACAAGACAGCGGTACAACAAGATAGAAGTAAATACCTCTTCTTCTTCTTTTCGTTCGTCTGAGTGAAGTAATTGCCTTGTACTTGTTTACAGCAAAGCTGCGATATTTAGACCTTTCGGACTTCATCGCGCATTTGTTGATCGGGTTAACTTCTCGGAGGAAAACATACATGACCGCAGAATAACATACGGGACACCAGCTTAACATACAGGACAGCGGGGTAACATAGAGGATAGCGGGATAACAAACAGGACAGCGGGATAACATACAGGACAGCGGGATAACATAGAGGACAGCGGGATAACAAACAGGACAGCGGGATAACAAACAGGACAGCGGGATAACATACAGGACAGCAGGTTAACATAGAGGACAGCGGGATAACATAAGGACAGAAGGTTAACACAGAAGACAGGAAGAAATACAGGATAGTGGGACAACATACATGACAATAGGATAACATACAGGACAACAGGAAAGCATACAGGCCAGCGGGATAACATACAGGACAACGGGATAACATACAGAATAGCAGGTCACTTAAGCAACACTGCTGTGATCAAGAAGTCTTGGGGGGAGGGGGGGGGGGGGTGCAGAGAACCCCCATTTAATTTTGTAGGGGACCGACCTCGAGGAGCTTAAGTCTGGTTTAAGTGCGCAATTATAATAATACTTATTGTTAGTATGTGCTGAATAGCAAATGTCAGGAATAAAATTCAGAATGAGGTCATAAGAGAACAAAAGTCTGCAGAGAACCATTTCTAAATTACATACAAAGACATCAAATCAAATGGTTTGCCCACTTGGAGAGAATGCCTTGTGACGCCATACCATGCAAGACAAAAACAAAAGAGGAGATGAATGAAGAACACAAGGTAGACCAAGAACAAGTGGAAAGATAATATCAGAGAAGCTCCACAACAACAGAGTGTGTCTACAACAGCATGATTTAATTTATGGTCGAGGTGGCCAAAAGCGCAAGAAACAGGACCTTTCAGCTCCCTCGACACCCGAAGCGGTAAAAGAGGAAGTCGATAAGAAGAAATGAAGAAGTACGTTTTTTATTATTATAATAATCATATTGTGTAGTCTATTTTTGGTACTTCCTTATTAGCCGACCACAAACAGGGGAAATCCACAGGTCGCAGGACAGTCAAATATTTTAGGGCGTGGTAGATTAAGCGTATAATTTTAGTTGGTTAGAGTTAGGGTTAGCTTTGGGTTAACGCGAGAAAACCTTGGTCTTGGAAGAAACGCGCTAAAGCACAGAAAACACGGAAAACCCGCTCTTCCCACCCTCTAAAATATTGGACTGTCCCGGGACGTCATTTATGGTCGGCTAAAAAGAAATCACCCTATTTTTGGGGAGTATAATTCTTTTGTCATGAGATGTTTCTCAGCTTGTCTGTCTATGGTCCAGATCCCCGGGCAGAATTCCATCTCATTGGACTCAGCATTACGTGACCTACCTGCAGCGACCTCACTCGATGCATGTCGTCAGCGTCCTTGACCTTCGTTCTGAATGCTTGCAGAGTACAGACAGCTGCGTCTGGGGACAGAAGAAATTTGCCATGCACGTTGACCATTTGTCTGCATGCCTGTCTGTTCGTCCGTCTGATATTTTGCTAATCTGTCTATCTTCGTGCATGCCTGTTTGTGTCTATCTTTTTTGTCAGTGAGTATGTATGTTGGTTTGTCTGTCTGCACGTCTAACTCTTTTCTTCTTCTGTCAGTTTTTCATCACTTCCTAGGCTTCGTGTGTGGTTGAGCGTTTACTGTCTATCGTCTGTCTGTACAGGCACGTAATCATCTGTATCAGTAATGCTAAAGCAACAGGTAAACAAGTTATCCCCGGGAGGGTCTGCTTATTCACACACTGCGGTTTCAATTCGGTTTCCAGCATCATCGCTAACGGGATGCCCCATAACTGCTCCATTTCTGTACCAATAAAAACTACACGAAATCCCTATCGCTGTTCTATATGAAAGGTCAGACATGCTACAGTCCAGGCAAAATCTCAAAGCTCGTACACGTATCAGAAGAATAAGGCAGTCACCAGAGATGATAAATCTACAATCTGTTGCAAGAATTGTTACTCATAGTTTATTGAAGCAGCAGTCACGAAAAACCAGCCGATGCACACGTATTACTGTATAAGTCACCGCGAGTTGTGTGGCAACCAGCTATTTTCTGAATATGCAGTTTACAACACACATCTCCTGCAGCACAGACAATAAGCATTCCCAATGACATTCACAGCCCACATTGTCGCACCATGCAGTCATATCAGCAGCTGGCCGACGAAAGCGAATGCTGCTTTACACACACTCGCGTATCCATATGATTATCGACTTCACACAACAAAGGCCATACCTGCCTCCACGGCACCTTGGTCCCTCAGCACAAAAACCTTCCAGGTGTACGCCCCTGCATGTCGGTACCGTCTGCTCAGCGCCCAGAGCACGTGAGGCAGTACCAAGGATTCGATCAGCAACAGCCACAACAACGCCACTTCAAGCACCTGCAGGTCTAGAGTCTGGGTCAGCTCCATGAACTGCGACACCTGGCATTAGGGGAATGTATAATGAGAGTTTCATGTTAGAGAATTAACCTTTGTAGAAGACATTAGGGGAGGAGGGTCCAGTCTCCTTATAATTTTCTAGGTGATGAGACTCATTAGGCTTAAACATTGTTTATGTGCTTTTCATTAGCTCTGAGGTCTTGTCTGTTGAGTTTTCCAGTCACAGTTTGTGCTGTAGTTAGTATTCCGTTAATAAAGAGTTTGGTCAAAACGTTTGGTTGTGTTTGTGTGCCTCTTTTCCATTCCTTCCGTTGAGCTTTCTAGTCACATTTATGTTATATTCAGCATTTTTTGCGATCCACTCAATCGCAGTAACCTCCCTATTTACGTCATCACTTGGGTTCGATTGTTCATGCCAGTGCGGGCTAGAATCAAAGCGCTTACATGGGTATCTTAGACCTAGTTCATCAAACCAGCGCCACGAACCCTTTCTGAATCGGACATCGTAATTCTGAAAGTAAAACCCACCACATTATCCTGTCTGCTTTCTCCCTCTGGGTTCTGGGTTCCCATGATTAGGAAAACAAGAACAGACCCACTACCTTGCTAACTAACTCTTCGCAAGATTCGACTAATTAGGGTTTCCTACTAAGTCGCAGTGCATCTGCCTGGAAAGCAGAGAACCAACAGTCTGCACACAGATAAGCCAGATCTGTAAAACGAATGTATAAGCAGAATTCAAGTTCTAGGAAAAGACTACAGTCCAGAAGTGGACGAACAGCCAGAACTTTCCGATAGAGTTTACTGTTGGTAGACATTAAGAAGAAGAAGAAGAAAAAGAAGAAGAAGAAGAAGAAGAAGAAGAAGAAGAAGAAGAAGAAGAAGAAGAAGAAGAAGAAGAAGAAGAAGAAGAAGAAGAAGAGGCAGAAAAAAGAAGAGGAATTAAGAAGAAGAAGAAGCAGAAGAAGAATTAAAAGAAGAAGAAGAAGAAGAAGAAGAAGAAGAAGAAGAAGAAGAAGAAGAAGAAGAAGAAGAAGAAGAAGAAGAAGAAGAAGAAGAAGAAAAAGAAGAAGACGACGAAGAAGAAGAAGAAGAAGAAGAAAAAAGAAAAAGAAGAAGAAGAAGAAGAAGAAGAAGAAGAAGAAGAAGAAAGAAGAAGAAGAAGAAGAAGAAGAAGAAGAAGAAGAAGAAGAAGAGAAGAAGAAGAAGAAGAAGAAGAAGAAGAAGAAGAAGAAGAAGAAGAGAAGAAGAAAGAAGAAGAAGAAGAAGAAGAAGAAGAAGAAGAAGAAGAAGAAGAATAAGAAGAATAATAAGAAATAATAATAAAATAATAATAATAATAAGAATAAGAAGAAGAAGGAGAAAGAATAATCATAAGAAGAATAATAAGAAGAAAAGAAGAAGAAGAAGAAGAAAAGAAGAAGAAGAAGAAGAAGAAGAAGAAGAAGAAGAAGAAGAAGAAGACGGAAGAAGAAGAAGAAGAAGAAGAAGAAGAGAGAAGAAGAAGAAAAGAAGAAGAAGAAGAAGAAGAAGAAGAAGCAGAAGAGAAGAAGAAGAAAGAAGAAGAAGAAAAAAGAAGAAGAGAAGAAGAAGAAGAAGAAGAGAAGAAGACCCAGAAGAAGAAGAAGAAGAAGAAGAAGACAGAAGAAGAAGAAGAAGAAGAAGAAGAAGAAGAAGAAGAAGAAGAAGAAGAAGAGAAGAAGAAGAAGGAAGAAGAAGAAGAAGAAGAAGAAGAAGAAGAAGAAGAAGATTAGAAGAAGAGAAGAAGAAGAAGAAGCAAGAAGAAGAAGAAGAAAAGAAGAAGAAGAAGAAGAAGAAGAAGAAGAAGAACGAAATAATAATAATAATAATAATAATAATAAGAAGAAGAAGAAGAAGAAGAAGAAAGAAGAAGAAGAAGAAGAAGAAGAAGAAGAAGAAATAAGAAAGAACGACGAAGAGAAGAAGAAGAAGAAGAAGAAGGGTGATGATATAACTTTCACAAACAAACCACACTTACCAGTAAAGGAAGGGCGTTCATTGCTGCAGACCCCACGGAGAAATACATAATCAGGCTGCACAGTTCTATGGATACATTCAGCTCCTTGTGCTCCACATGCGCTTGAGATCTGCCATCGACAGCCCCCGAGAAAGTCGGGGCCTGAATTCCCGCTGTCCTGTGCCTACTGGCCACAGCGTCTCTAATACTTCTTAGCAACAGAAGTGTGTCCAGGGTGCTGATGAAACCCATGATGACAGAAACGAGGGATAATATAATAAAGAAGACGGCATAGCCGACGTGGACGTCCGCTGGAAGAAAGCTGCAGACCTCGTTCTGGAAGACGGGAAAGAGATCAGCACCACCTGCGACTGGTGGGAGTCCGACAAGGAGCGAGACAATCCAACAGGCTCCGATGGTTGCCTTCATGGGCGTCGTTGACTGGAACATGCGTCCCTTTGTGGACATCCGCAGTGAGGCTACCCAATAGACATTCAAGACCAGCAGCACTAAAAGATGTGAGGTACGCAGTGCTATTGCCAGCCAGGTGTAGAACAGGCACAGATTTTTATTCCAAGACAGATCCCCTAGCTTGATTATTGCTGGAACCGGAAACAGTATGGCAGAGCTAGCTGCCATAGTAACAAAAATGGAGATGAACGCCACATCGCAGCTGTGGAAGCTGGGTCTGTAGTGAAGGCAGACGACTACGCCAATGGTGTCAGTGATGACAGCAAGAGGGGAAAGGATCATCCATGCAACGGCTACCATAAAACGGGGCATTGTTTGAAGGCGCTTATGTAATTAGGGCATAGCTACTCGCTGTCACTAGCCAACAATTTCGGAGATTGGATTGGATTGGCTTTTTACCCCACTAGGACATCACACAAGCGATAAACACCCGATGACACAAAGTGCCACCATGCGGATGAGGATCACCGTGGAGAGGTCCCAGAAACCGCGTTCAGACATTTGGCCATATGTATGACCTGCCTATATTGCGGCCCCTGGCAAAAGCCAGAGTGGGGCTTCAAAAAACAAAAAATAACGTCCTAAGAAGGACGTAAGGAATATTAACAAATAAATCGGAGACGTCTTGTCACCTTTTTACAAACAGACTCATGAGTTCTCACAAGTATACAGCGATCTGATTGGTCCAATCTGGAAAACATTAGACTGGTCGGCTTTACACAAGTTTGGTTTACACAACGGATCAACATCATGGGCCAAGGGTAGCAACCCATAAGCACCCCATTCCACTTCTAACACAAGCCTTAGTCCGAAAAATCTCAGCTAAGTGCACGAACTCCGTAGCACCGGAGAGGATCCTGACATGATTTAGGTCGATTTTTAATTCAAAATTGTGCCCGGGCAGCGCCGTTAGGCTGCTCTTTTCGATTTCAACTGCTAAGGGATTTTTTACGTGCGCAACAATACACACGGGTGTCCGATCTTACTACCCAGAGACCAGGGGAAATTACTAGAAGTCCACGTGAACAAATCCCAGACTTCACCTGGGTCGGAACCTGGGACCTCCAGCACTCGAGGCGGACGCCATGCCTTGAGACCACATCACCCCCCCCCCCCTCCCTTTTTTTTAACACAATTTGTTATGCCCCAGTTCTGGACATTATTTCAAGCGTTTTGTTAACACTATTTTACTCCGTATTCCCCCCCCCTCCCCCCCCCCCAATTTTCCCTTTCTGGCTACCACCGGATCATTTCTTCATCTCGTCCCGACATTCTATGAGATTTTAACTTCCTAATCGGCGTCTGTGGTTTAGATAATATGAGCGCGATTCATAATTTCTAAATAACTGGTTCTATTCATCTGCAGGTAATTTGGCAAAACACGTTTTGTGATGATTTTGACACTGGTATGGAGATCCGACTATTCAGAGAGCAATGGCAAACTACTGAGCGTCAAATATGTTTTTTAAACCACAAACAGCAAAGAAAAATGGAGCTGGATGTGAATGGCCTATAAAGGATACACAACTGATCCATAGACAAGGGTATAATTTTTTCTATTAGAAAGTTTTTTTCTTTAAGAGAAGCCAGACTTTGAATGTTTCTTTCTGGGTTACCGGAGTAAAGATTTGATATCACAGCATTCAGGACAAATCCATGTTAGCTCCGTTTCCCTCCTTAACAGCCACAGTTCCTTTGATGTCCTTAAATAAATTCACATACCCAAGGGTCACCATTGATCTTTGATTCGATAATCAGTCTAATCGATATTGTCATGTTGTTTAAATAAAATTCAGAAATCATTCGATCGGACATCGATAAGCCAGAAATGTAAATAGATCTTCGACCTGCCAGTCACAAAAGATCAATTTCATTGATTGCAACAAATGCGCCACATTAAAAAAAAAAAAAAAACATAATTAGAACAAAACCACAGAGTGAACAAATATGCATGTAGTTGGACAGTGACAGATTTATGAAGTAGGAATATTTAAATATGCATGGTAAAATAGTTCTGATGTATTTTTCCTTATCATTTCACAATGTTGAAGTTTAGCACAATTGATCTTTTGTGAGTGAAATCAACAAAAGCCAGGCGTATTGGGCCGTTCATAAATTAAGGGGCTTTTAATTTTTTGTCTGGAAAAGGTAAATTTCCGTTCAACTTTCGTGAATTAAAAAGATGGTATTTCCTGTCAGAAAAGGAGTTTCAGCTTGACTCTCTATAAAGTCGAATGCTTTCGAAAACAAATGTCTGAGCAAAATGATACAAATAAAATGGGAATAATTCAAAAGGAGTGAAGAAATAGGAGCAATATTTAGGCAACCACTAGTAAGAACAGTTATAAGACAGAGAAGATGGCGTTACATTGGACATATCCTGAGAAGAAACCAGCAGAGAATCAGGCATTATCATCATCATGAAGCAGGTCCTTTGCAGAACGTCGCTGTCATCACTGTCTGCCTGAAAGAAACTCGGTCTCTCGCCTGCTCTCCCGCCTCATGTACTTTCATACTTAAGGAGTCAGGATGCTTATATCTTCCTTGATGTTCAGATCTTTAAAGGTGTTATTATTTCTCCTCTTCTTGAATCAGGCATACAAATGAGAAATCAAGAAATTTAGGCGCCGAAGACGCCCAAAAGAACCCTAAATCGAACGTTGATAAGAGAGGCCAAAGCTGCTCGATTTGATTCATTCCATGATTTTGAAGTGATTGCACAGGATAGAAGGAAATGGAGGAATAGATCCTATGTGACATAAAATGGCACAACAGGATGATGAATTAATGAATGTTTATAATTCGGTATGCCTGTGAATTATGGGCAGGGAATAATAAAAGTACTGGACATGCGGATGGGCTTTTGTAGAATACTTCGTTACTGTTTCTTTAAAGTAATCCACCACGAATGAATCAGTTACCTTAAAGTAATTATGATAAATGTAACACATTTTTAAAGATAAGGACCATGAAAGTGACAGTTTCCCCACGGTAAAAATAAAAAATGTAATAAATATCTCATCCTTAGTGAAAACAGAACATACTAGTTACACACGTAGGCATATTTTCCTTCGCTGTCCCAGAGTTTGATGCGGTATCAGATCGTCTAGTCCGAAATGTCACGTGTAGACTGATCTTTTCGTGGAATTTCACGAGTAGACAGATCTCCTGGTCACGGTTTTTCACGTATAGACAAATCTTCTAGTCCTGGAATTTCACATGTAGACAGATCTTCTAGTCGCGGAATTTCACATGTAGACAGATCTTCTAGTCCTGGAATTTCACATGTAAACAGATCTTCTAGTCCCGAAATTTCACATGTTGACAGATCTTCTAGTCGCGGAATTTCACATGTAGACAGATCTTCTAGTCACGGAATTTCACATGTAGATATCTTCAAGTCCCGGAATTTCACATGTAGATATCTTCTAGTCCCGGAATTTAACATGTAGGCAGATCTTCTAGTCCCGGAATTTCGCGTATAGACAGATCTTCTAATCACGGAATTTCACATGTAGACAGATCTTCTAGTCACGAAATTTCACATGTAGACAGATCTTTGAGTCACGGAATTTCACATGTAGACAAATTTTCTAGTCACGGATTTTCACATGTAGACATATCTTCTAGTCACGGAATTTCACATGTAGACAGATCTTCTAGTCTCGGAATTTCACATGTAGACAGATCTTTTTTTAGTCACGGAATTTCACATGTAGACAGATCTTCTAGTCCTGGAATTTCACATGTAGACAGATCTTCTAGTCGCGGAATTTCACATGTAGACAGATCTTCTAGTCGCGGAATTTCACATGTAGACAGATCTCCCAGCCATAGAGTTTCACACGTAGACAGATCTTCTAGTCTCTGAGTTTCACGTATATATGAATACTAACAGCAGCACAAGAAGACAGTTCTCAGTGACATATCTGCAGTGACAGTCAATGTATACAACAAGTAAAGTGTTTTAGAATCAGAGAAAAGAAACATCACAACCAGTGACACGGGATGGGTGATTATGGGGCAGTTAAGTCACAGCAGGGCGGCATAAAATAGACGTGAGCGATAAAATGCTAATAGACTGTGTGTTGGGGGTGTGCAAGGGCTACAACCCTCGGTAGCTAAAGTTTATTGTTGGAGTTATGGGGCATAAATGATGCTTTTCGTGTATGTTATAAGTTTACAACTTGCATGTTTTAGAAGAAAGGAGGGAGGAGAGAGATATAATTTAGAGACCTACAGATAGACGGACAGAGGGCCGGATGGATCGACTGACAGACAGACAGATTGATTATCTAGTTGATTGACTGAGTGCAGTGGAGTATAATGGTAAACAAAAACAACGGAGACGTACAACTTAGAGCATTTTACATTTTAATTAATACAGTGTCATGAATTAACGATAACAATCATCATCATCATCAGGTGCCTTGCCGACTGGCGTGGGCGATAATGCCTCTCCACAATCTGCGATCTCCTGCTGCATGTATCAGTTCGTGTGCCGACATACCTCTATGATAATAACGTTGAGAATACATAAATATATTGATACAACATGTGTAACAACAACAACAACAACAACAACAACACTTTAGATTTCAAAAAGGCCTATGTTTTCATAATATTCATAGGTTATATAGGTTGCAATATCTTCAAATGTATATATTGTGCGTTTTTGCCCTTTTTCAATACACATACATAGACGGCTATGAACGAAATACTGAAACATTAAAACCAGAGCAAAACCAGCGACGCGACTTCTTTGCTAAGATGTGCATCATGGATGATGACCTATACGTGCACTGAAAACTTGTTGTTTATAGAGAAAAATAAAGGTGCCGGTACTCACTATAGAGTGTCCAGAAATGTGCCCGTACTCACCACAAAGTATATATTACAGTAGCAGAATACAAATGATGCATAAAAAGTGCCGGTATTGCGTACCGTTACATACCGCTGGAGAGAAAGCTCTTATTTATTATATTTAAATCCCCCAAATGCTACAAACACTTGGGGATTTAAACTACAACTTTTCCAGGAAATTCTGAATGAAAACGTTACCTTTAATGACATAACGTATCTATTCAAAGACTCGCAACTTCGCAACGTTGTTTCTAAACCACCATACCAAGCTAAACAAAATTTAATAAACCTGATTTAACTCATTGAACACTTTATGTCCTTTGATAGTCATTAAAAAAATAATGCCGAATTTCTTAAGTGGAAACCAACAGCTTATAAAAGCACTGTCATATGTGTGGTTAAAACTGCGGCTCTAACGTTGCTTGCGAGGTAAGTATGCCGACTCCCTC